GCCCACAGCGGGGTGCAGTGTATGGAGCTTAAGCAGCCTCCCAGGCTGCCCTCGGTGCCTGGGACACCATGACCTCTGTGTCCTCAGGCTGGCCACCTACTTCCACCTCCCCTCCCGTGTCCCCAGGCTGACCACTCTGAGCACCACGCTGCACCGGGAGCTGCTTAGCTACGTCGACGTCATCCAGGTGTCCCTGCGCAGCTTCCGGCAGTACCTAGAGGAAAGCCTGGGCAAGCTCCGCTACTCCAACATTGACTTCATCAAGCAGTGCAGGTGGGACGAGCCTGTCCCTATTGGGAGCCAGTCTTGTTTCCCTCCTAATTTTTTGTGCCAAAATATTCATAAATCAAACTTGGTCCATTTTGGCTATTTTTAGGTGTTCAGCCTACTGGCATTAAGTCTGAGCTACCATCCCTGCCATCCATCTCCAGAACCTTGTCATCTTCCCAAACAGAAGTTTTGACCCCACAAAACTCCCACTCTCCATTTCCCCACACCTGGCAACTTTCTGTCCCTACTCTCGGGACATAGAAATGGAATCACACAGTATCTTTCCTTTCGTGTGCCTGGCCTGTCCACCTGGCAGTGGTGCTTACTCATGCTGTGGCATGGGCCAGAATTGTGCTCCTTAAGGCTGAAGATAATTCCACTGTGTCAATAAGACACAGGTGTCATCCCGCTCGTCCCTTGATGGACTGGGGCTGTTTCCCCGCCTCTGTCCTTGACCGACCTGCATTCGTGTTCCCATGATCTAAAGCCTTGTCAACCACGGCATTTGGGATGGATGATAAAGTTTCCTGTCTCACCTGTGGCCTTTACTTCTTCAAAATTACTTTCAGATTGTTTGCAGAGGGAGGCAACTTTTCTTCTGAAGAAATTGCTGCACTGTGTCATCGACTAGAGAAGGAAGCTTCCCGGATAGAGTTTGTGGAAAACTTAATCATGATCAACATGGAGAAGATGGAGAATGAGTACCTGGATCAGGTGGGTGAGCCTGCCCCTGATCTCCAGGCTCCACGTCACAAGGTCCCTTCCCCATCACAGGATGGCTATGTCCAGCCACTGCTGATGGCGCTTGAAGTGCTCTGCTTAAAAAGTCCAAAAGTTCCAAATGAAGCCCCTGCTTTTCACTTTTTAATCTTTCTTTTTAGGCCAATGATGTCATCAACAAGTTTGAAAGTAAATTCCATAACCTGTCTGTGGACCTTATTTTCATAGAGAAAATCCAGCGGTTGCTGACAAATCTACAAGTGAAAATCAAGTGTGAGGTGGGACTGATTCACTCTCCAGCTGGGGGGTGTTTGTCACGTGCAGTCGCAAGCCAGGGAGCATCCGGGTGCTGGGGTACCCGTGTGTCTCTTTCCCTTGGGACATGCACTCCCCAGAAAGACAGGTTAAGTCATTGAGTCATGACACACCAGTTAACTAACTTATTTTGATTAGCTCTGTTGGTCCTCACAAGAACTGCATGAAGCAAGTGTTATTTTTTTTTTTTAACTAAAAGCATTCCTCAGAGCTTTTAATATAATGGTTTTATTGAGGAGCTATATCATGCATTGTTTTCCAAAATTATTATAAACCAGATCCTATATTTAAGAAATTAACCAGTGTCCTTAAAAACATTTTTTGGGAAACATTATACCAGAGGATATTCTCTCACTTCTCACTCCAGTACCAAGGTCTTTGGGGTAAAAATAGATCAAAGAGGATGCCAGCAAGCTTGAGCCCTAAGAAGTCAAGATGCTGCCCCTGGGGCTGGATGGCTGATGCCAGATGTCAAAGCTGCTGCCTGGAAGACCTAGATCTGTATTCAGTTCTGGCTGGATAGATTTTTTTTTCTGTTATTTTCTTTTTACTTTTTGACCTCCTCTTCCTTCCACATTATTTATTTATTTATTTATTTTTATGTTTTGATCAACATTTCTTCCACCCCCAGAGGCTGGGTATAGAGGTTATGGGCAAGACCCATCTTAACCATGATTTTAGCGATAAAGAAACAGGCAGAAAGTAATTCCATGGTGCAGGCAGTTAAATGGTGGAGTCAGCTTGTGAGCCCAAGTGTGTCTGATGCTGGAAATCATGACTGAAACATGAACAGCCCACCCAGGCAGCAAGAGGAGGAGATCTCATGCCAAGTGACTTGTGTGGAGGGTGCCGGGAGCAGGATTTAGCCTGGACTTGGAATGCGGTGCTCTCGAAGACGTGATGGAGAAGTAGGAACCAGCCAGGCAGGACAGTGGGGAACAGTATTCTAGAGAGGTCAGGGGAAAGTCCTGGGAGGCTGGAGTCAAAGGAGAACGAGCTTACACACATGGGCATGTGCACACACACACACACACACACAAACTGGGGGAGCAATGAGGTGAGGGAGGAAGTTGGGACAGTCAGCAAGGCCTTATGAGTTGGGCTCTTCATGCTGAAATGATTGGTCAGGGTGTTGAGGATCAGGAAAGGCTGTAAGTGAGGAGGGCTTTCCGCTGCTGGGTGCAGACAGGTGGGGAGATGTGAGGGGTGAGGCAGGCTGCTGAGTCTAAGGCAGAGAGAACAGTGTCCTGGACAAGATGCCAGCAGGGACAAGTTCCCCCTCCACAGTGGAGTGGTGGGGGGGTTTGGAGGGGGGATGTTAATGAGTAGGAACTACAAAAATACAAACACAACAGAGCATCAACAACATACAATAGATACATAATATAAAGTTATATCAATAACCTTTATATAAGATATATAGTTATGGACACTAATATATTAATGTATTTATAATATATAATATAAATAATATATTAATATAAGGCAATATATAATTTTGATATATAATTTTGTGAATTTATTTGTCAATTCTACCTCAATAAACACTCTTTTCTATCTATGAAAATATGGGATAATATATATCTGTATTGATGCACACAAAACACAATTATAGCCTCTGGCTACTCGTTCAGTTTTTTAAGGTTCTGGGGGGCAGGAGCAAAAGAAAAAAAGAAGTTCTATAATCTCTAGAGAGTCCTCACGAACACCGTCTTGATGGCTTCCTTTTCCGGACGCTGCTGTTTTTACTTTGCGGTTTCTCTCTGCAGGAGCCCTGACTGGGCTCCTGCGGCCACACGCGGCACTGTGATGACCTCGTTCGCCTCTCGGGCTAGAATGACCGGCAGGGGCAGGAAGGTCCCCGGTCGCTGCTGCCCACGTGGCTCATCCACGTTTTCCGGCCAGTGGGGCTTGAGTGTGTCCTCCGAACTTCTCACTAGCATCCAATTTTATTTTTAGATCTAATCTAGTCGATGGCCAAAAAAAGTCTTATTTTACCCTGAACTAGTTTCTGATAAGACTGTACCTATTTGTGCTGATTTCACTTTTTCTAGTGCTAATCCATCTCTCGGGTATTGTGTTTTGCTGAACATTCTCCTGGTAAAGTATTCTAGAAACAAATCTCTAAACCCTTGGTTTTTCTAGGTGGCAAGATCCAATTTGCAAGCAGAGGGATTAAATTCTTGTCTGAAGCAGCTTCAAAGCAAGATAGAAATGTATCGAAATTCACGGGGAGATAAAAAAGTAAGTGCCCCAGTTGCTGTGTTTTGATTGGCTCATTTAATGTAATCTAAAAGTTAAATTGGTTGGCAACATGAAAAATTTAGTAACAGCTAACCCCTTAAGGAGAAAAGCAAGCTCATTAGGTGCTGAACTAGGAATAATAAAGATGCATCATACTAGACTCGTAAGGTCAGTGGTCAAGGTCTCTCTAGTGCAGGTGCCTCTGAGCCTTCCTACTTAATCTGTTGCCTTTTTTTTTTTCTCACGGAATTACCGAAGGGGAGGGAATACCATGGTCTCTGCACCCCTCAGCGTCTCCCAGGCAGGAGTGGAGTCCAGGAAGCACGGGGCTTGCTTGAGTCTGCCCTCCCTGCCCTCCTGGGTCACCCCACCTCACCCCGTAATCAGAACCCCACCCTGGGTGAAGAGCGGAGGCCCCTATTTGCCCCCTAATTGTTTGATTTTTTTCATCTGTTTTGCTCATTACACATAAACTGGTTCCTTCTACCGACATTAATATTTTCTGTGGTTATGCAAAGTTTGAGCTGGTGCATAGTTGAGGGGAGAGCAAGATTCTAAGTGTCACTGGCCATCTCTGTGTCACTGGTCAGCATGGAGGGGCTCTGATGGCCTTGCTCTTTCCTTGCCTGTTTCTCTCCCACTAGTGCGGTCTCTGCCCCCTCTCCAGTCCCCCTCCCCACGGCCCCTTCTCATGATATTTTCTCAACAGTCCACCCAGCACCAGATATCCCTGTGGAAGTTTCTTACATGGGACTTTCCCTCCTCACCAAGTTCTGTCCTTCCTTTCTGTTTCAGTGACCATGTTGTTGACACAAAGAGAACATTGTTTTTTCTACATTTATTGCCTTTTCTTGCACAGCAACGTGAGCTTCTTGGAAAAAGTCTGCATACCCACAAGCACCCAGTAGAGAAGACCCAGCCAACTTATTCATTTCTCATCATCTACATTCATGACCATAATGTGATTCTTCTTGTAAATGTTTCTGCATCATTCTTGTGTTTATTCGCACCCCAGGGTGGGTGTTCTGAGGAAAGCTGGTTTTTCTGTTTCCCGCCACTCTTGCCTGGTCTCACTTACGAGCCCCACCCACTGGGACATGGGGAAAATGAGGTTAACGTGCTGTAACCCCTTCAACATTTGCCCTCCCACATTTCTTTACCTCCCAAACCCCCTGCATAGCCTCCTCTGATGGTGTCAGAATGTTGGGCAGAGTGTGGGGGCCTCGCCCTGTCTCCTGATGTGAGCCTGGGGAGACAGCTGATGTGTGTGTGGGGGAGGCCACTCAGTACCCCTGCAGGGATCAGCGGTGGAAACAGAGCATAGGGCTGGCAGTGGCCTTGGGGTGGGGGCAGCGAAGGCAGAGGCGGAGCTGTGTGCTCAGGCTGTATGTGAGGAGACTCTCCGCTGTGCAAAAAGGCCGGGAAGTGTGTGGGCCTCAGCAGAGGCAGGGGAGAGTGGCCGGCAAGGGGCCAACAGAGACATGTCCCAGTTCCACAGTGGAGGCTGGGAAGGGCAGAGTGAAGCTGCAGTGGAATGAAGGAAGCAGAAAGAAGCCAAGGCATCTCCTGGCTGGCCTGCATCATCTGTAGGTCACTGAGCCATTCAGGAAATAGCATGAGGCATGACAAGAGGGGTATGGGATGCGAGGTCAAGATGAGCCGCCTCACGGTGGCCTCTGCGCGCCTCTGAAGCGTGGGCTGTGGGATTGCTGTTCTATGGTTAGGGTGGGGCATGTATTTGATGTTGTCATGGAGATGGTGTGTTGACCCACTGGGAAGGCTGTGGCTGCTTCCCCCTGCTCATCCTCCTGACCTTGGGCCAAACAGTTCCTTCTAAAAAGAATGTTAAACAGAAGAGATCATAGGTGCACTCTGTGTCCCACCATGTAGGTGGGGAAACTGACTTGAGCAAATTTAACTCATGTACTGAGAACAAACCTAGAGAAGCAGGAAGAGACTGTCTGGACAGGGAAGGATCCACTGTCTGGGTGCAGCTGCCTGCAAGAGCAGGCCGAGCGTTGTTCCCAGGCCCAGGGTCCTCCCTGCGTGAGCTACTACCTCTGTGCAGCCAAGAGGTGTGCTCACCAGCCAGCTGCTGTCCTTGCAGGTCAGATGCAATCAGCTGCCCTCCCATAATTCACTTCCTGTGACTCTATTCCTCCATGTTCTCACCAGATGGTGAACTCAGAAGACCTCCTCAACTTTGTGCAAATGTGGAAAGAAAAACTGAACCAGAGGATTCAGTACCTTGACTGCATCCTGGGCATGATCACGCAAGTGATCTTTACTGTAAGGACTGGCATGAGGTGTTAGGAACAGTGGGGGAGCTGCTGGGAGACCCCAGGGCTCAAGAGAGCCTTAGGGAAGAAGGGATTCCCGGGGCCCTGCTGGAAATCAGGCCTATGGAGAAGGCTTGGAAAGCTCACAGTGGATTCACATCTCGGGTCACAGTGGTCCCATCCAGCCCTGATCTTTGGAGATCCTGCACCTCCTAGCAACACCTCTTTGCCCCCATCAGGACCCCATGCTACCCTCCATCTCTCAAGCCATCCTCAGTGCTTAGCTGCTTCCTTCCTCGGCACCCATAAGCAGCTACTGGCTTCTCTGCACTCCAGCCACAGCCTCACCTAGTGCCCCATCTCACCCACTTGGCTGCCTTATCACCTTGCTTCCTCCCAGGCTCCATCACCTAAGATGCAGCCCAACCGAACACTGGAAAAGGCCAGTCGTACCACATCACCCTCCTGCCCTCAGGAGCCCTAAACCGGACCCACACAGCAGACTCATGGTCTACCCCCCATGGCATCTTCACTTCCTGGCCTCTCTCTTCCCAGGACCTCCTGGCCCCTGGAGCACACCCCATTTCCCCACGAGCCCTCAGACAATGTGGTGATGTCTCCATCTCAGGGACTGTTGCCCAGAGCCTGAGGTGCCTTCACCTCACTGTCAGTCCCTCACACACCAGGTTTGGAACATCAGAGGGGCTCACCAATTTCGGGGGGGGGGTTAGCTTAAGTGGACCCCTCCCCAAGTTCCTCTGTGGCCACACTGCAGCCTCTGCCTCTTACTGCCAATTTCTAAACCTCCCCTTCTTTGGGGAAGGGGGGTATTTTCCCTGACATGCCACCAGCTAAGCCTCCATTGTACACCAGTATGCACCTGACAAGACAGGACTCAGGGCCAGCTGGTCCTTCCATCAGGCACTCGCAGATCACCCTCTGAGAAGTGAAGCAGAGTCAAATAAGGAAGAGCTTAACTGAGCGCCTGGCTGAGTGCTCACTGCGGGGGGCCGCTCCTGCCTTTCAGTAAGATCCCACTTGCAGGAGAGGCGCCATTAAGTCGTCTACACATTGACTCAAGTATTCGTCTGGTCCAAAGCACTAACTGGACACGTATCAGGCAGCCTTATGAATCCACGACTCTTGGTCCTGTAGATGTGGGAATTTTTTTTTCCACAGCACTGGTCCCAATTTTGCCCAAACCTTTCTTTGTAGAAGAGCATGTTAAATGTCTGGCTCCCTGACTAGACTGTCAGTCAGTTCCATGAGGACCAAAGTCTCAAGTGAACTCTTCACCCTGATCCCCAAACCCAGACCAAACCTTGCAGAGAACATGCACACAGGGTGCATTTTTGAAGGCAGCATGTGAGTGTGAATGAATAAACGCCCCCTGGGGGACAGACAATCGTACCACTTTATAGGAGGGAAGACAGAAGCCAGGCAGCTGGCCCCCCGCCATGGCATCCCGGCAAGGTGGTGCTGGAACATGAACCCAGCCTGTCTACCCGCCTGGCACATCCACTGGGGACACACATGAAGGCCCTTCTTTCTGACTCCCAGGAAAACCTCATGGACAACCTGGAGGTTGAGAGTGATGTTCTGACCTCTTCAGAAGTCCTTGAAGAGGAATCCAAGGTAGATCACATCGTTCCTGAGTGCTTTGCCCAACCGAGCCGCATGGGGAAGTCTATGATTGAAGACCCAGCTCTGGAGGTTGTTAAGAAAATTCTGCAGTGAGTCACGATGGGCTGCAAAATGGAGTCCCGCCATCCTGGCTGATGGTCCTGTACCTTTGGGGTCCCACAGACTGGATGTCCTTGTGAGCCCACCCCCGACAACCTGTGACCTTGAACAGGGGATGTCTCTGAAATGGGACCTGTGTTAAGATAGATTCACGTGGTAGTGGGAGTTAATTGAATGGTGTTCAGGCCAGAGGGGGAAGCTCACATCCTTTCCTTCGGTTGCAGACCTCTCACTTCAAAAGGCTCTACCCATCAGTGTGACAAAGATCGGTCCCAGACAGGTAGAGTCAAACAGGCGTGTGGGTGTTAGGGAACTAGCAGCGGGGAAGCCGCAGGTACCACCTGGTCCACCCTAACCTCGGGTCCTCTGCTTTTGTCCTGGGTGCTCATCCTCCGAAGGCTTGAGGCGACATCAGAACCGGGGGGAACACTTCGTGAAGCTGTTGCCCAGTACCAGTGTCACCTCATTAGGGAGGTAGGGATGCTGGGCTGCCTGGGGTCTCCCCTCACCACACCCCTGCCCTGTCCCCTGGAATAAAACCCAGTGACACCCTGCTGCTTTCATGGACTCTGAGCTCAGGATGCTGCCTGCGCTCACAGCTCTGAGACTCCAAGGAGTAGTGAGGGGCCAGCTCTGCTGCTGACAGAGTCAGCTCTGTGCTCCCTCCTCTGAGTGATGCTGCTTCCACGGGCTTCCTACCTGAGAGCCTGGCTGGGAGTGACACCTGGTGGGTCTGACCCTGCTGACAGTGGTGCAGTGGCAGTTCTGATCGCCACCCTCCACCCCCATGGAACAGAAAGGAACGTGGGAGATGGCTCCTAGAGTCCCATCACAGAGAAACAAGGATACAAACCAGGGCTCTGGCAGTACCAGGACAATATTAGTGATGGTGTTGGCGCAGTCACACTCAACAGCGCAATGAGGACTTGCAACCCGAGTTCGGGCAGAAGCACTAGGGTTTACTGTCGGGGCTAGAGCACACTTTCAGGAGCTGTGGGAGACCCTTCAGGAAGAGGCTCCCCAGGCAAAGTGCAGCTTCGCATTGGACTAACAAACAGGGTGGCAGGGCCAGGCTTTGTGGCTGGGTGGTTCTGGGCATCTGCTCTGGGGGTGCAGGCACAGATGCATAACAGGCACTCTCACATGTCCCACAGCCAGGAAGCATGGGCTGAGCCCTGCCCAGGGCAGGCTGCACTATTATTATAACACGTTCCCAGCTACTGTGGGTCACTTTTGGTCTTTCTGCACATGCCTTGTAATCTGGCTCTGACCAGTTTGGGCTCAGGGTCCTGCAGTTTCTTTCTTTCATCCTCAATGGTTCGGATGTAATATGTTGCACACACAGCTTGAGAATGCATACATTGCAAAGAAAGTTGTTGATAGAAGCAACAGGTCAAAGAAACTTGTGCTGGGGCTTTACTGATACTGAGCTGCTGCTGTTCCACCAGCATCTCTACCGCTTGCCCCCTCTTAGTGATCTTGGTTGGGTTTTAGCCATACGGGCTTTATCCCCACACTGAGGTTTGCCTTCAGAGGTGCTGAGGACTGGGAAGGCCAGTGGGGAGTTGAAGGACTCCCCAGACATGAGAATCAGGCCCCGACAGGAAGGTGCTGAACCTCCAGCAACCCAGGTAGGCTCAGTTAGATCCCTGGGTCTGTCCCCACCTTTCAGAACAACAACCCACTCTTGCCCACAGCTTCACTCGGCACACCAAGCCCAACCGAATGGACAGAAGGTACCAGGTGCTCGGGGACAAGCCACCTCCTCCTTCTGAGTAAGTGACAGTGTCTTAATCTTTACTCTATTTTTAACTTCTATTGTTTTCATGGTGGGAGGAGAGGGTGTGGGCAGGACAGGAGTGGGGAGCTCAAGCTGACTCGATGAGATTACAGATATGGTAATGGGCACTGATAAAGCGAACAGGGTAACCAAAGGTGCCATAAGCCAGATACCAAGCTGGTTTTCTCAAGAGGTCTTAGAATGCATTGTCTCCATTAAGTCAACTGTTACTTAAAATTGCTTAAAATGACTCCATTAAGTCAACTATTACTTAAAATTGCTTGGGCATATCTTGTCCTCTTTATCATTCTCAATATGACATTCCAGTCTAAAGTCCTAGTTCCACATCAGTGTTTCCAAATTTGTTTGGTGCAGTAAAATAAGGCCCCTTGGGGATCTGTCCTGTGTGTTACAAGAATTTTATTTTATTTTTAAATATATTTTTAAGAAATTTTAGGTGCTTGCACCCCCATGTTTAGTGCTGCTTTATTTACAATAGGAAAGACATGGAATCAACCCAAATGCCCAAAAGTAGGTGACTGGATTAAAAAGATGTGGTACATATACACAGTGGAATATTACTCAGCAATCAAAAAAGATAAGCACATGACTTTTGCAGCTATGTGGATGGAGTTGGAAGGGATCATGCTTAGTGAAATAAGCCAGAAGGAAAAAGAAAAATACCAGATGGTTTCACTCATAGCAGGAGCATAAAGGACCAGGGGGGAAAATAATAATAATGAACAACTATATACCAGAGACATTTTATGGAGGAGGAGTGGGGAATGGGATCAAAAATGGGGGTGGGGGGAGTACATGGGACTATGGTGATGAGAAGCCCATGGGGATTACAACTGAGATGGAAAAGGGCGCAAAATGTTGTAGAAATAAACTATTACAATAGTAAAAAATATTTTTAAAATAAATAAAAAAGATGTGGTACATATACAATGGAATATTACTCAGCAATCAAAAAGATGAGCTCATGTCTTTTGCAGCAACATGGATGGAGCTCTAAGGGGTCATGTTTAGTGAAATAAGCCAGAAAGAAAAAGAAAAATACTGGATGGTTTCACTAATAGCGGGAGTGTAAGGGACTGGGGGGTCGGAGAGGGTGTGGAAAGCAATTGTAATAAAGAAAAACAACTAACAACTATATACCAGAGACATTTTACAGGGGTGGAGTGGGGAATAGAATAAAAAATAGGGTGGGAAAGTTACACTGGATTATAATGATGACACACAGGTGAGTTGGTGGTGGGATGTCCAGGGGGATTTCAACTGAGATGGAAAAGGCACAAAATGAAGAATGATGTAAAAATAAATTTAAAAATTGTTTTTAGGTGCTTATGATCCTTTAAAAAATATATATATATTTACATCATTCTTTAGATCCCTTCTAATCCATGTTGCTGCAAAAGGCATGAGTTTATCTTTTTTTGATTGCTAAATAATATTCTATTGTGTATATATACCACATATTTTTAATCCAGTCATCTACTTTTGGGTATTTGGGTTGATTTCATGTCTTCCCTATTGTAAATAGAACATGATGTAAAAATAAATTCTAAAGAATTTTAGGTGTCTATGAACCTTTAAAATATATATATATGTGATTTTTTGTGTACATATATATATATATAATTTTTTTAAATCATTCTTTATTTTGTACATTTTTTCATCTTGGCTGTAATCCCTGTGGACTTCCCACCACCATTTCACCTGTGTACCATCACAAAGTCCTGTGTACTCTTCCTGCCCCAATTTTGATCTTATTCCCCTCTCTACCCCCATAGAATATCTCTGGTTTATAGTTGTTTGTTGATTTTCATTTTTGCTTTATTACAATTACTTTTTTTTTCTGATCACTGACGTTCCTACTATGATTGAAACCATGTGGTATTTTTCTTTTCTGTCTGGCTTATTTCACTAAGCATGATCCCTTCCAGCTCCATCCATGTTGCTACAAATAATATGCTTTACCTTTTTGATTGCTGCGTAATATTCCACTGCTGAGTGTAGAAAAGTTCCTTTTTCTCCACGCCCTGGCCAATATTTGTTGTTGCTAGATTTTTAATATGTGCCATTCTCACTGGTGTGAGATGGTAACCCATTGTGGCTTTTATATGCATTTCCCTTATTACAAGTGATGTACATTTTCTCATATGCATGTGGGCCATCTTGTTGCAGGACTTTTAGAGGCATCATCCTGAGCCTGTTATGGGACAGCAATGAACATCTGCTGCTGGTCGCAGAGGTGAGGGCCACCATCCACAGGCCTCTACCTGTCCTTCTGCCAGCAGTATATATCCTCAGTCATCTCTGCCTTCTGCTGACGATGGCCTTGTGGGTGAATCTGAGGAAAGGGGATTCCAGCCGCCATAACTGTAGTCTCCCAGCTTCTGACATCTTGTGTGATAATTTTTATCCTAGAAACTAAACCTCACCCCTTCACTTACCTATTTATTCAGCTGCCAAACATTACTTGGATACTCACTGTGTATCAGGTTCTGGGTGTGTCAAGAGGAGCAAACCTGTCCCTGTCCCAGAAAAGCCAGCAGCCAAAAGGAGGGCAACAGACATGGCAGGACCGCAGATGGGGCTGAGGGAACAGGCACCTGGGGCTTCCCATTGGAGCCACCCAGCTCCTGTTCCAGCGCACCTCTCAGAGAGGCATCTGCGTATTTCTGCCTGCCTCCCACTGGCTGTGGATTCTTCAGAGCAGGTACTCCAGCTCTCCCATAAGTGTGTCCAGTGGCCTAGTACCAGCCCAGGGCTTCCTAGAAACCTTTCCACCTGATCATTGAAATGAAATTCCATTGGGTCTTGAAGGATGAATAGATTTTAGCATTCTCTCACTTGTGCCTTGCATGACAACGTTGGAAAGGGGAGACAGGTGGGAAGAGCAGCCCCGGCACAGGTGCAGCAGGATAAAAGCCTCAGTGGGATCAGGGCTGGGAAGAGCAGCCTTGATCAAAAGCACGATTCCAGGGGCCTGGACCAGAGTTCCATGGAAGGGTCTCTACCTTTATACACTGTCATCCTCTCCTGCAGGACTTCTACCGCAAAGAGAAGCGCTCTGTCACCAGGCCTGAATGCATGTATGAAACCTTTGACCAGTGTGCAGAAAACATTGGCAAAAAGACCTTGGATTACCTCAGCGAGACAGACGAGTACCACAACTCCTGCCTCATAGGTGGGTGCCAGGGGCAGATCTATAGGTTGGTCAATTGTGTGATATGAAGCCACCCAGCTTGGTCTGGGCCTCAAAGCTGTGAGTGGCCCCTTCCAATCTGGATGTCACTGGTAGAGGCAGAGGCACCTCTCTACGAAAAGGTAGTGGGTTATAACTAGTAAAAGCCTTGATCAGACTTAACGAGGAGAAACAAAAATGAGAAAAGGGAATTTGTATCCCTGAAAATATTTGGTTCCCTTGCTCTGACATTTTGGGCAGATTTATTGAGATCTCATGAACATACAATTCACCCATGTAGAATTGAACAACTTGGGTAGGTTCAGAGCAGTGTGACTATTCCCACTGTCCATCTTAGAGCCCTCTGTCCCTCCATCATGTCCCCTACTCTAAGCAACCACTAATCTAATTTCTGTCTCTGTAGATTTCCCCACTCCAGGCTTTCACATGAATGGCACCAAGTATATATAGTCATTGGGACCAGTACCTTTCATTCTGTACAATGTTTTCAAGGGTCATCATGTTGTAGCCTGTATCGGTGCTTCATTACTTCTTATCACCTAGCCAAATGCCATTGTATGGATACCACATTCTGTTTATTAATTCACTAATAGGTATTTGGTTGTTTCCAACTTCTGGCTAATATGAATAGTGTTGCTATAAGCACTCATGCACACGTTTATGTGGACATGTGTTTTCATCCCTCTTGGGCACATAACTAGGAGTGGAATTGCTAGGTCCAACTCTTACATTTGTCATGTGAAGAATCCTTCCATTTAAGGTATTTCTTAAGTGCCAACTGTATGCCTGGCTTATGATGAACTCAGTAAATCTAGCCTCCTGGAGGATAGGGTCATGAAAATAGGCAGTTTAAGTATATGTTGTCATTTACATTTACTGTAAGAATGCTGAAGGAGCAGTGAAAACATAGGTCCCCTTTGCACATTTTTCCAACAAGTTCCTTTGCCTCTTTGTCCATAGCTAATGTGTCCAATGTGACTGTACATACTAATCATTCTGCTTCTAAAGTCAGAGAAGCTGAGGGCCCACTGCAGATCTACTGTGTTGGTTGATGGGTCTGTGAATACAGAGGGAAATGATTAGAGGACAGTCAGCCCTGGAGGAAGACCTGGCACTGCCATCTTCCAGCTGTACAACTTTAAAAACCTTTAAAGTTTTTAAAAAGATTTATTTATTTATGCATACAGAACTGGGGTACAGGCCAGAGGTACAGGGGCAGTGAGAGGATTCACTAGATACAGAGTGGGGAGCAGAACAGGATGACTGATGAAATACACTGCTGAGGGGAGCAGTGGGCGGTCAGGAGAGGTCTGCTGCGCCATGTGGATCACTTCCAGGGATTAAACTCATGCTGAAGTGGCTTTAGCAGACTAGTGTTATGCTTTATCCCACTGCACCACCAGGGAGGGCCCTAAAGTTTTTTTTAAAGGTAAAGATGAAAAGAAAAATATCACTGAGAATCTGTAAGAATGTTGATGTGGCTTCTAAAGCTGAAGTCACACTGAAATAAACCTGAACTCAACTTTGATTTTGCGAAGCATCTAAAAGGCCTTTGATTAAGACTTCAGCTTTAAAAGATCTGGAGTTTTCCAGGTCCAGGTGTTTTTTTTGGTAGAGACATTACAAATCCTTTCAAGAAAAAATCAACTTCATGTCAGACCTTCCAGAATTCCCACAGATAAAATGCCCAGAATAAGAGCTTACAGGAGGCAAATTAACAAGACACACACACACAGGGAGAAAGGCGCCTGGGCGTCGGAGCGCAGAGGGAGGCCAGCCAAGGCTTCAGCTGCGACAGGGCTCCAACGTAAAGTAGCTGTTCAGCAGCATTAAAAGAAGAAATTGGGAACATAAATAAGGAGCAATGAAAAGACCAATTAGATACCAAAGAACACCAAATAGAACTTCTACATTGGAAAAAGAAATAGACGAAACTTCAAAATTATTGGATGGCTTTACAAACGTTATCCACAGATGGAGGTGAAATCAATGAACTGGAAGGTAGATCTAAGGAAAATATTCATAATGCAACACAGAAAGACAAGGACACGAAAACCTGAGAGGCAAAGAGATATACCTGAGAAGAACAGGTCTAACTCTAGCTATTTAGAGGCTCAGGAGGAGAGGAAGGGAGGCTGGAGTCAAGACAGTATTTGAAGAGATAACAGCTGAGGACAGAGCTGGTGAAAGGCAATACAGTTTTAAAAATAAAATAAGCAAATGAACTGAGCTGTAGAGTCCTGCAGAGTATGGTACAGACGCCCTTCGTACTTGTCTAATCCAGCATTTTCTATACTTGTTTGACCACAGAACCACTTTTCATGAAATAGTTAAAATCTTACTGTAGACTGAGTCTTGCTTTGGGCTTTGTTGGAGACAGTAACATAGTTACTTGGCTCTGCTCTGTCCCTCTCTCCTGACCCCCCCCCCCAATTCCTACAGAATTACGGACCCAGATGAGGAGGTTTGAAGAACTGCTACCCCAGGTGTGTTGGCTGGTGATGGAGAATTTCAAGGAGCACCACTGGAACAATTTTTTTACCTCTATCCAAGAGATCCGGGAAGAGTTCCGGGAATATCAGAAACAGGTGGAAAAAAGTAAGGTAAGGGCTTCAGGGCTACCCTTCCCCACCTCCGACCTAGGACTAGGAGCCCTGTGGAGCTAGAAACAGGCAGAATATTGGCAGTCCTAGGGCAGGAGATGGGCTAGGGTGGGGATTGTTGGGTGAGGCCTGAGCGATGTGAGGCTTTGGAGAAACGAGGGATGAGTCAGCGGCTTCTTCATCAGAAGTTGGACTTAATGGGTGCCTCTGGGGCTTTGACTATTGAGGTCAACAGTGTTGCATGGTGCATGGGATGTGGATACTGTTGATTTTTTTGGACTAGAGCCCTGGTTGTAATGGGGTAGAAGCTCAGCACACCCTTCCTGACCCTCTGAGGCAGCTCCAGCCAGGCCCCCAGCTGGCCTTCTCTGCCTCTTTTCTGCTGTCTGTGCCCTTCACACACCAGAGTCAGATCGCACCTCAGTATAGCGATAGCCATTGCTGCCAGAGGGCTGTTGGTCCTGACTGCAAGTCTCGATCAAAATCCCTTCTGACTTCTGGAGTGTTTGATTAAAGGATGAAAATGTCCAGAAACTTCACCCAAATCTTGGACACCCCACACATTATCAGACAATGGAGTCGCTGTGTCAAATGGAAGAGAAAAGGCAGGAAGATTTGGATGCGATGATCATGGCAACTAGGGAGAAGCTGGAGGTCAGTGGTGCCATTGATTCCCAAGCCCGGAAGCTGAGAGCAGCACTGCTCTCCAGAGAGATTGCTCCACGAAGAGCCCATCCACGGCTCTGAGTATGCCCTTTGCTGGCACACTGGTGCAAGTGGGCATGAAAGCAGGCCGTTTTTATGGGTGGACGTAGTCACTACTGGCTATTTTAACTTGCATTTTTTTCTTAATTCCTGCATTACAAAATTACTCATGAGAATATCCCCCTCCCCCCAAGATCTGTGTCTAGTTTTATGTCCTCTTTGGTGCATTGTCAATATATGTCCCTTGGCCATGTCTAAATTATTTCTCATCTTGAAGCCAAGTTACCCCTTAGGAGAGGGTTCTAAGCCAAGGACCAGGTACCAATGAACTTGTCCACTGTTGACCCGTGGCTTTGGTCTTGTCTCACCTGCTGACGCCCCAAACCTTCCCTCCACTGGCTTTGGAGGAAAGTCCTTTTCCCTGCAGCACTGGGCTCCCATATTTCTTCCAGGAATTAACCAAGAAGAGCGGGCGGTTTTTCATATCCAGCTTGGCCACCTTCACTGAGAAGTTCCTGCTGCAGTTGGATGAAGTGGTCACCATCGATGACATCCAGGTTGCTAGTAAGTGCTGCCCCTCACCCAGGGGCTTGTGCTCTGACCCCAGGTTGGGAGGTGTAGAGTGAGAGGGGGTGCTTTCCCCCAACTCTACTAAAGTGAGAACAGACTCTCCATTGAGGGAACCAATCAGATTTTGTTTGTTTTCATTAACAAGCAAATCCCAAATGAGTCAAATGTGCATTGTCAGGCATCTATATATTTCAAGGTATAAATCGTAGCAAAATGAAACCTTTCATTTTGGTAAATATTTTCACATTCTTGAGGTTAGGACAACTTTCCCAAATAGGAGCTAAGAGCCAGAAGCCATGAAGGCTGGCACTTCTCTGTAGCCAAAACAAAAACTAAGAAAAAGTTAAAAGATGGAAAGACAAATCACAAGCTGGAAAAGAGCTTCCTAATAGGCTATAAGCCTAATAGCCTCATAGCCTGTAAGTCCCTGTGGTACAGGGAACTCTAACAGGTCACATTTTTACAAAGAGACAAAGGACAAAAATATGCTTTTATAAAGAGGAGTGACTCACATGTCCTGTAATTACCTGGCTTTGTGGATGATGAAAAATTTAATATAAACATTAATTTGCATACAGTATATACAGACACGACTATTAATGTAAAATAAACATTGCTAAGATACCATTTTCCTCCCACAACCTGGCACAGTTTTTAAGTGACTGATGACCAGGTGAGGATGACAGAAAGCCCAGGCCCCACAGAGACCCCTGGAGAGATGTAGAGGATGCTGCTCCCAGAGAAGACTGTCTGTACCTGGAAAATTCTGGATGGGCAATACCTTTGGCATAGTAGTTCTATCTGACAAATACCTGACAGAATTTTTCAAATGTGCATTGTCAGGCATCTATATATTTCAAGGTATAAATCATAGCACTGTTCAAAATTGCAAAGAACTAGGAACATTAATATCTATGTATGGGGGGGGAGGGTGGATTAATAAATTATGGTTCCGATGTGAAGGTGGATGGCTCTTTGAGTGAGTGGAGCTGGTCTGTATGTGCCAGAGGTAAGGCATGAAGGAACACTGTTAGGTGGGAAGACAAGCTGGCAGTCAGTACTCACTTATGATACCATTTTTTTAAACACACATATATAACATAAACATGCTTACGTACATCTCTTTAAATGAATCTGTGCAGGAGAATAAGAAAGAGAGCTGAGAGACAGGGACAGCTGTGGGCAATGGCTAGTGAGACTTCTAAATCTTTCCTCTCTTCTAGTAGGTGATGTTTAAATTTTTTATAATGTGCATGATGCTTGTATACTACACAAAGATTGAATTCAATATAGCATACAAAGATATGAACTTAACATTAAATACTAACTCTTTTGTCACTAATGTGTTAATTAAAACATTTTTATCTTTGAAAGTTTGTATTACAAAGGTAATAAGTGCTTATTATAATAACAGGCAGTTCAATATAAATTATAAAGAAAGTAAAGAACAGTTTTTCCACCCAGAAATACATGTTTTTGCTGTTGGTTCTTCCAGTCCTTTTTGTTAGGCCAGATCTGTGTGTGTGTGTGTGTGTGTGTGTGTGTGTGTTTTCCTGTCCAGTGGGGGCAACATGGATCCATCTAGTTGGTCACCTTGACTGTTGCTGAGCATCGTGATTATTGTTTGGCTTCTGCTGTTGTACATGGACCACATCAGTTTTTCCTTCAGTGACAGTGCTGAGAGGGACATCTGCACCCATATATCTCTATTTGGGGACAAGGGATTCCTAGAAAGGACTTTCTGGGTGAACATGTATATGTATTTTGAGGTATTGATCACTTCCCAATACTGAAATATCTTCATCAAGTGTGAGCTCTGTTTGGAAAAATGGGACTTGCAGAGACACTGGGGCTGAGACCCAAGGGAGCCCAGGCATGGGAGCTGGCCGGGGAGCTTGAGCTGGGAGGAGCCCTGCACCCATGTAAGCAGCCCCCTCCTGCTGCGTGACTCATCCTGGTCCAAGCAGCCTGGCCCTGCCATTCACACCAGGGTGCCACTCACTCCAGCCAGGAAAGCATGTCAAAGGCCAGGAAGCAGAGGACAACTTGAGTGTGTTCATCTAGGGGTAGTTCTTAATTCCAGACCCATTTGAGCTGTTAAAAGCCAAGGGGGCCCTAGCCAGCTATCAGGAGCAGTGAAGACCCAGCATTGTGCTTGGGACTTTGGAGCTGGGAACAGTACCCAGATCACAGCTCAGGTCCTGATCACTGTCACCCCACCCCTCCCCCAACCTCTCTGGCATATTCAGTCTGGGGTGGGGGTGGGGGCACTGCCTCCTGCTGGAGACTCTGAGTGATAACTCCAAATAACCTCTATCCTGCCAGGGATGGAGCCGCCCAAACAGAAAACATCCATTCTCATACGGAGGAAACTTGCTGGACACTCACTACAGGAGGAGATTGAGAAGCCCCTGATTGAACGTGGGAGCAGGTGAGTACTGAATACCATGAATAGCTGCATTTGCTGGGGTGGGGAAGGAGAAATAATGCTGTAAATGTTAGTTTTGTGGAAGATGAAAATATAATATAAACATCAATTTACATACAGACATTTAGTGTCATATAAATATTATTAAGATGATATTGTTCACCCATAACCTGACAGGGATTTTAAGTTCAATGACAACGAGCACTAGAGGAAATGATGAGGGATACAGAGCTGAAGTCATTCAGGCCTGACAACACTGGAAAGGCCTCATGTTCTAAGCCTCATGCCCTCATCTGTGAGCTGGGCGCAGACACCTGTCTCACATGGCATTATGAGGAAAAAATAAAATCATTCCTGGAGAACCCCTGGCACACACTAGGGCCAGTGTGTGACAAGGACCTACAAAGGGACCCACAAAGACCGGGGAGGACTGTCCTACTGTGAGGCACATTCTCAGGTCATACTGGCTCTGAGGTGCGATGAGAGTCAAAGTGCTTGTCCCCTTTGCCTCAAGACTGTCACTCTGCATGAAGACTCCTGTTTTTGTAAAAGTAGATGTTTCCCCCAAAGAAGGTTTTTTTTTTTTAAGATTTGTTTGTTTATGCACGGAATAACTGGGGTGCAAGCCAGAGGTGGGAGGGTGAGAGGATTCACCAGAGACTGAGTAGGGAGCAGAACAGGTGGATCCGTTGAAATACACTGCTGAGGGGAGCAGCGGGCAGACAGGAGAGGTCTGCTGCGCCATGTGGGTCAACTCCCTGGTGCTGCGGTGGGTGCTGAGAGCTTCATAGTGCTGTGCTTTAACCCCTTGAGCCACCAGGGAAGGCCCTAAAGTTTTCTTAAAGGAGAAGCTAGATTTTCCTGCCTGTGGTGGAGGACGCTCTGTGATGATGGAGACAGCCCTGGAGGGCCTTCCCCACGCATGTTTGTTTGTAGGAAGTGGTCGGGAATCAAACCAACCGAACTCACCATCCAAACCAAGATTCTCCTCCGGAAAACATCATCGATCACCACCAACAAAACAACCCTGGGCCACCTGGCAGCTGTGGAAGCCCGAGATACTGTCTACCTGGTGAGTGGGGCTATGGTCGGGTGTGTGCATCCCTGGGAAGGAGGGAGCATGCCATCAACTGACGCCCTGACTTTCGCCCTGGGGCCCCCGGACAGTGTCAACACCCAGGACAGTCTCCTTACCAGGCATAGTGACATGCATAAAAGTGATGCCAACGATGCTGGGCCAGCGCCTTCTGGGCTGTGGTGTAAGCTCTGTGCAGATGGACAGCTCTGCCTCCTAAGTTCAGGTAGAGTTCAGCCTCTGAGGAAGCCAGGAGGACCCTGTGTTCCAGGGAGGTGGCAGCATGATACAGTGGTTAAGGAGTGCAGAGTCCAGATGGAGTCCTTCCCTGCTCAGCCTCTTTCTAACTGGGTGAGCCCTGGCAAGACTCTGAGCCTCAGTTTACCTATCTATGAAATGAGGAAAACAACTGGACCTACTTGATCATGTTGAGGAAATTACATGAGACGTGACTTGTGCAATTCATGTGACTCGTGCTAGTGCCTGGAGTGGTTAAAGAGCTAGTCCCAATAGGTAACAACATATTCCTGCAGGGCACAGGGTCAGAAGTCCCTCCCCTATATCCTCTTGCTGCTTTCTATCTCAGAAGTACTTGGCATTATTTGAAGAGGAGCTGAAGAAGATCCAGGATGAAAACACATCACAGATGAAGGAAGCTCAGTGCTGGAAGGACAGCTGGAGGCGCTCCGTGCACATCATCCGAGGCCTGTACATGTGACACCCTCAACCACACAAATAAAGGCTCATTGTAGGTGTGTTACAGGGTAGCCCAGAGTAGACTGGGCCACCTGTCTGTGGGGCCTCACCTGCGCGCTCACAATTCAGTTTTACTGCAGGTACACACAAAAGGGTCAATAATGGGTGTATTTTAAAAAGGGGAAAGGAAAGGAAGCAACCCAGGGAAAGAGAGTGGAATACAAAGTAACTGGAATACCTTACGGCTAGGCTGACTGAACACACCTAGTCACGCTATTTCCCGAGCAAGACAGAGAGAGATACAATCGCACCCTATTTATCCCCAAATGTCCCAGAATTCCTGCTAGCTCTGCCCTTGGGTCCTCGAAGTTCTCTCCCTGGTGCTGCTGGGAGTTGTAGTTTCCAACTACTGGAGTAGGGGGTAGTGTCCAGAAAGCTGGAGTAGGGGGTGGAGCCCACAAGACTCTGCAGAGTGCCTTTAGGACATCCTTCCCCTTAACAGGTGGACTCCTACTCTGCCCGTCTGTCTGTCCCTTTGTGCACCCATCCGATCATCCACCTGCCCCCTGTCCATCTAGTTTCCCACATATCCCTTCTTTATGTCCAGTAGGTCCCGCCCATGTGGACCTCTAATTAGGTCCACAGAGATGATGGAGTGGGGGGATGAGTTCTAAGGAGGAAGCCAGAGCTGAAAGGGGAGCCACCACGTGGTAACAGTGGGGGGACAGTGGACACATGGGAGCTGAGCCTTAGCAACCTTCCAGTTCACTCTCTCTGATGACAGTAAGGGAGACCTCCACCAGGAAGTGGCTGCTCGGTCACTTATATGCTCCCTGACTTGGAGGACACTGCAATTGTTCTCCCTTCCCTGGGTTCTGCCTGAGGGGGAGGCTGAGTCCAGCTCCTGTAATAGCATTAACATTTACAACAGCTGGGATGTGGAAGCAGCCTCAAGGGATGGATGACTGGTCAAGAAGATATGGTCTAGCCACACTCAAAGTACTATATTGCCATAAGAAATGCAGAATGCAGTCAGTTTTAATAAAATTAAGGGGATTTGAGAGAATCATGTGCAGCAAAGAAAGAGTGATAAAAACAAATACTGGAACATGGAGACAATAGACAATTTGATAACGATAACAAAAGAAAAAAAACATTTTCAAAAACTAGCAGGTATCAATAAGCAGGTGTGGCTAACTAGACAGGACCTCAAGTGCACCTGTCCACCCTGGCTAATGTTGTGCATGGGTGAGCACACACCCCAGTAAGGCCAACGAACAAGTCAGCAGAGCACAGTGCACTCTGTCCTACAAATAGCTGCAGCCCACTACTTTGTTTCAAGGAGAAGCTACAGGAAGCCCCAGACCTGGTACAAATATGCACCCCACTCCCTGCCTAGGGCACATTTCCTGTTTTTCCCTGCACCTACAGACCCTAAATATACCCATGGGCAGTCCTGATAAACAGACTTCGGACTCCAGATCCCAGGCTTCTGCTTCATTCTCTCGCTTCTTGGAGTCTCCTACATTCAGACTAACTTAGCGGTCAGCACACCCCTCAGTGGGTTAGCAAAAGTCAGGTAGTGTCATCCTCTGACTTTATTCTTCTCTTTCAATATCGGGTTAGCTATTCTGAATTTTTTGCTTTTCCATACAAACTTTAAAATTAGTTTGTTGATATTAGTTTGTTGACAAAATAGCTTGCTGGAATTTTGACATCTTGACAATACTGACTTTTCTGATCCACGGACATGCAATAGGTGTGCATTTATTTAGTTCTCCATTTTTCTTTCATCAGAATTGTAGTTTTCCTCATAAATATCTTATACATTTTCGTTAGGTCTCTTTTTATATTTAAATTTCAGGTGCAATAAAAAGTTACTCTGAATGGCTGATGTTTGTGAGATTAACATCATGTCTTGACCTATTTAGTTCGATGCACATTCCTGGGACACCTATCCATTCCTGACTGTGAGAAAGGAGGAGAAAAGTGAGTGAGAAGCAGCCACAGCCACCACCTTTGTGAGCCCGTTGGCGTCATGTGTGACAAGGACTGTAGTGTTCCAGAGAAGGAAGTGACTATCCAGGGTAGAGCATGCTTGCCAAAGGAGTTGATATTTGAACTGAGGCTGGCAAGGTGTGTGGGAGGTCAACGGGTAGAAAGACAAAGTTATGCCAGGCAGAAGAAAAAGGCATAAGCAAATAAGCCAAGACAGGAGATTGCATGGCTGTCTAAGAGGAGGCTTTCTTACTTACTTGGTTCATTCTACCACCGAAAGGGTTATGGGGCTAGAAGCAGACCCACGGGCTCCTAGTTTAACAGAAAACCAAGCCCCAAATGATTTATCCAAAGTCCAACAGTTAGGGGCGATGGTTCTCCCCAACAGTCCACCTTCAACTCAAACTGTACTTTTTGAACAGTCTTCATCTTTGATTTAGGAGTCAGCTGACCAGTACTCAGTGCCTCCTGTGTGGCTTCTCCCTTTCTCACCCCTAGCCTCTAGTGCCATGTCATTTTTACACCAGCTGGTTTATTGACTGTTACAGACTTTGTAGTTAGTTGCCGAAGCACAGTCACCCAACCTCCCTGCCCCACCCTGGGGCCCTAAACCAGCTGATAACTCGGTATCTACAGGCTTGGGAATTGCCCTTATTCCTGCACCTTCTCTGAGGCTTATGCACATAGCGAGAGAGGGCAGAAGAGACCCCTGCCCCCTGGGCTCTGTAACCTCTCTGCTTTAAGCTTTCATTATCCCTCATTTCCCCATGTTTTGTGCTTGTAGTGATCAGTCCCTTCTGAGGATTAGCCCCTTTCAGCTGATTCACCTTGGAGGCCTTTGGGAGCAGATTAGGCGATTTTGCTTGATCAGCACATCCTTAACTGTGCAACGGTCTGTATTTCATCTGGGCTCCAGCTAGCTCTGCTTTGTTTTGTTTCTTCTTAAAAATCCTTTGGAGAGGTTTTTGAGTGACTCTGCTTTATTTTGTTTCTTTTTACTTAGTCAAAAAAAAAATGCAATTGTTTGTGAGGCCATAGCTGATGGGAGGGAGTGATCATGTTAATGATTAACCCAAAGTAGATCTGTCCAATGCCGGAGTCCATTTTCAGCCGAGGTAGGGTCTCCCGCAGGAAAGGACAGCATTGGGGAAGGCGAGGGAAGAAAGGGAGAGGGTGAGAGAAAAGAAAAGACACAGACACTTTATCAGGGTGAAAGCATCTTCTGTTGATTGTCTCAGCGGGTCTTTATTTATACATTATAAGCAAGCAGTGGGATTACATCAGTGAGTACACAAAGCAGAAAGATAACAATCATCACATTTTTCTTAAAGACAGCTTGTGGTCTTTTTGACCTCTTGCTGAGATTGTGTTATTCATCATTTGTTAATAAAAGGTACAATTAATAAGCAAAATGTTCCTATGGTGATCACTCAGCTATTACAACTTAAGCAATCATTCTGCTAATATTACAATGAACATATATCTTAATGGCACAAGATCTAATGTTAAGGAACTAGGAGTCAGAAAAATACAAATACCGAGTGCACTGACATTTCCCTAACCCTAAGGAAAAACCCTTTTTTGATCTTCAAAAGGAATTTCCTTAATCACTATTCCTGTATTATTTTGCCAACCTAGTCTCTATATTTAACTTAAGAATTAGGAGAAAATTTCTTTCTCTATATGGTCACTGATTGTTATCCTATTAATGTTATCTAAAAAACCTTTCTATGTAAAAAGAGTTCAGGGTGAAATTTGAGGGAAAGTGTAGGAAAACTTTTTTTTTAAAGATTTATTTATTTATGCATACAGAACTGGGGTACAGGCCAGAGGTGCAGGGATGGTGAGAGGATCCACCAGAGACAGAGTAGGGAGCAGACTAGGCAGATCGATAAAATACATTGTTGAGGGGAGCAGCAGGCAGGTCAGGAGAGGTCTGCCATGCCAGTGGGTCACCTCTGGGGCAGGGATTGAACTCATGCTGCAGTGGCTTTAACTTCTTAGTGCTGTGCTTTTAACCCCGCTGCACCATCAGGGAGGGCCGAGTAAAACTTATTTTTATTTATAACTTTATTACTTAAAAGGAAACTATGTTACTTAAAAGAAAACTGTAGATCTCTTATCGGGACTGGGCAGGAAATGATTACAGCCTCTGGTTCCCAGAATTCTTGGAATATGACATGTTTCTTGTTATTGTGGCACTTAAATTTGTGCCAGCATCCTCAAACAGAGAAGTATTAATTATTTTACAATATACTGTGCCATTCTGTGTACAATGCTATTGTTACTAAACCAATCAATCTAATCAATCATAAAGTAAGTATTGACTGTATATTGAATGCATATTTGGACAATCGCTATGCTTCTTGGAAATGGCCATAAACAACCTATACTTCTTAGAAATGACCATAAATGAAAAGGACCCAGCAGGAACCAGCTGTGGAATTTCCTGACTTTTCAGGATTTTCCCCCATTCTAGGACTTTGCCATACAACATGAGTAGCATGGCTCATGCCAGTCCAAAAATTCCTTTTGTCATGGATCTATTAATATTTTCCCTGACTATATATAAACAAAAATACCTGTGAGAATGGGGTTCATCCGTATCCACTACTTCGAAGGTGTTGTTTGGCTTCCAATTAGGAGTTAAAATGATTATTGCTGAAGTTATTTGCAATGAAATAACTCAGAGAAAGCAGATGAATAAAATGAACTCTCTTCTAGTCGTTCACAAGAGAGGTGAGACATTGAATTGTGTCTGACATCCTCCTCCCCTGTAGACACGGTTGTGACCAGATCCAGAACTGTGACCTCTGCGTGCACACAACGGCATAATGCTCAGCAGTATTGATACATATGCATGGATACATATGCAACATGGTGACTGTCAAAGCTCTGTTCTAGGTGAAAAAAGCCAGACATACTATTCTATTTATATGACATTCTAGGAAAGGCAAAGCTATAATGACAGATATCAGGGGCATGGCCACTAGGATCTGGTGACAGGGGCAGAAATTAACTGTAAAGAGACATGGGAACTTTCTGGAGTGATGAGCTAGTACTATGCCCTGATTGCAGTGGTCACGCTTTATTAAGGATTTGTTAAAATCCATCAAACTGTACGTTTAAAATATTTATTATATGTAAACTATTCCTCAATGAAGCTGGTTTAAAAAAGAAAAACTAGCTACAGAGCATCAATTTTCTTTATCTACAGGGCATTTTAAACATGGAACCCCTTTACAAGAAGAAAGGATACAGGACTTGGGTCAACTCATACCATCTCATGATTTATTTTGCATATTGGCCTCTGAAGTTTCCCTTTACTTCCTTCTCTTTTCAGTAAGAACTGCTTTTTACATCTTTCCTATCTTAAGTGTGGAGCAAGAGAATGTTATGAATAATGCAAAGTCCAATTTGATCTGGCTATATTTAGGTCGATTAAATCCACTGCAGTGTTTGATGCAGACTGGAGGGGAGAGGGAGAAAGAAATCTGAAATAAAATGTTGGAGATGGAGAGAAAGTGCTAGGGAGAGACATTTGGGCAGATTAATTGGGGACTAGATGTGGAGTGTAATGAACAGTATTCAAAGACCACTTTGTGCCATTCCCCATTGCCTTTGGGGGGAAAGTCCACATACCTGAACATGGGTTATTGGTACACACTGAACGGTGTGAATTTAACATACTGACGCTGAGCAAAAGTAGCCACCTCTCCCCCCTCAAAAGAGCATATACTACATGGTTCTATTTATATAAAACTCTACAAAAAGCAGATCTGTGGTTGAGGGAGCAAGGGAGGCAAAAGAAATGAGAATTATGAAGGGACCTGAGGAAAATTGGGGGGAGGGGTTATGATTATGTTTATTCTACTTAGTGGCATGACACTTTCATAGCAGTGTCCATGTCAAAATTCATCAAACTGTACACTTTAAATATATGCAGTTTATATTATGTCAATTATACATCAGTAAAACTGGAGGGGGGGGGAAATACTGGCTGAATAAACAGCAAGGCCTGATAAACACAATGAAAACAGGCAAGTATTCAACATTGCTTTAAGGAATACAAGGTACATGCTCGAGGAATGTTGCTAGATTATAGTGCGGAAAAGCAGTGAATAAATCTCAGGTGCTCAATAATTACTGAATAAATGAATTTTACAAATATGTCTGGCTCACTATCTTAGGCTTTAGGAACAGATTACAGAACAAAAGATCCCTGTGTTCGTGCCCTTTGATGGGAGAACAGCAGCCAGTGAAGAGAAGTGAAACTCACAGAGATTGCCAGACAGGTGTTGAGGAGAGAGAAGGCTGGGACGGGAGACGGGAGTCAGGACAGGAGGCTGACATATTTCCAGTGTAGTCATCGTCCTTCAAAGGATGACGCTTGAGAAAAGACCTAAAGGAAATAAAAGGCTCACGAGGGGGCTCGTGCTAGGAAAATAAAAAAGTAACTGTTCTGAACTTGAACAGTATAAGCGGGAAATGAAGGAAACTTCCTAAGAAGATGAAGTCTACAGTGAAGTCCGGCGGGACTCTGGACCTCCCAACACACCCATACTTGCATTGTCCACGAGGAGGCGCTCCTGCACCCGCCCCGCAGGCATCTTCCGCTGTCGATCCGTGCGTGGGCACGCGCAGAAACCGCTAGGCGGCGTCGGTTTCCCTTCCCACGCGCGGACGCCGGCGTGGGGCGACGCGACCAGGGTGCCCGCGCGTGCGCAAAGCCGAGGCCAGGCTTCCCTCGGGGCGGGGCCGAGAGGGGCGGGGCCGAGCAGGGCGGGGCGGGGGCTTGAGGTGAATCCCCTGCCGCGGCGGCGGCTCGGGCCGTGCGGGGAAACCGAAAGTGGGCGGTGGCCGTGGCTGTGGCCCTGGCGAAGACGGAGGCTGGAGCTGGGCCCAGTGGCGCGGGGACTGGCCGGGGGCCCCTGGAACGAGGTGAGCTCTCGTCCTGCGGCTCCGGGCGCGACAGGTGCCGGGCGGCGTTGGCCGAGATTTCGGGTGGGCGCGACCCAGTTGGGGCACCAGAGGGATAGTGGGCGGGACTCGCACGGACCCGGGGCCTCTTCTCAGCACTGCCCGGGACGTCCGGGGCCGGATCCCTGGAAACCCGGCTGGGCCCCGGGGGAGTTAGAGTTCCAGAGCGTTGTGTTTTAAATCTCTAATGGGACCCCTCCCCCGGCCGCTCGGGAACGGGCTGGGCGTTCACCTGGAAGTCGTACCCACCCTCCAGCCGCCGGGGAAGCTGTGCATTGGGGGGAAGGCAGGAGCGGGGCTGGGGATCGGCCCGGAGATGCTGACCAGGAAGTGGCTCCCGGTACCGGCTCTCTGGGCCACGGGCTAGAAACATCTGAGCTCCGACTGTTGAAGCTCTCTAGTTACACCGTGAGCTTAAAGGCTCGGGCTGTCTTTATGAAGGCTGCTCCAGTCATGCATTTGTGTTCTACAAATACCATCCACCCCTTTTAAAAGAATGATCATCGGGTGACTACAAAGCGCAAGCTGAGAGTGAAACATGCATCTATGAATAAGCTGGCTCGGAACTTTGACCGAGATCCCGCAGTTTCTCAGCCTCAACTTAATGGGACAAGGCTTGGAGCTCACACAACGTTTCTGCTCCGATTCCCTGAAGGAGTATAATACGTTTACATTAGTGCCTAAGGGGACCATTCCCAAATAGTGGCAAGGAGCAGGAAAGGGAATTTTAATAAAATATATTAGAAAAAAAAATCCTGGTCCAAAAGGATTCTGATGTCTGCCCCACAAAACTGTGTCATTCTTTGCCCCACCCACCACCCCTTTACACACACCCTCATCGTGCTGGAAGGGAAACATTGTCCACATTTATTCGCCTACTGATGTGCAATAGCTTCATCACAGAAGTGAAACTTAGAACCTAATCCCCAACTCTTCCTGGACCACCTTGATGTTAAGTGTTGCATACGGCAAATGGTCTGGAGGCTGGACTTCTCTGACTACTAAATGTGTGACCTTGAACAAATTAAATATTTTATTTGAAGCTGGTTTTCAAAAAAAAAAAAAAATTTTTTTTTGGTCCAGTGGGAAAAGGAGCAATGCTTTCAAAGGCATAAAGGGGTGAGTAGAAGGCAGAGAGAAAGAAAAGCCAATTCATGTAAATATGAAATTAGGTTTCATGCCAAACATCAAGAAAATTAAGGAAAGAGGAAAGATGCCAGTAACTCTGGGGTGGTAGGCGCAGTGACTAGCCCTTCAAATCGCATGAAACTGGAATCTGCCACATTCTGGGTTAGAGGTGTGGCACCCAAATCCAAATGTATTGCCAACTGTTGCAAAAATTCAGTGACTGCAACTGACATCTCCTTTATCCTTTCATTTTAAACCTTTTTCCCCTTCTACACAATTAATCATGGGTACATCAAAGTACTAATAATTTATATGTGTACGAAGTAGCAAGAATAAGTAGACAACCATTAGAGTACAAGATTTAAACAATTTAAATACCCCAAAGTAATTCTCAAGGTCAACCGTATTTTGCAAATTCACAGCTTTTCTCTTAAATACATCTAAAAATGGTCCCGAGATAGTCTTATTCTGAAGAAACTGGCTTTTGTGTACTTTAGAAACATGCTTTTACCACTGCCTGATCTTCTTTGGCTCAGTAATCTGGCCCCTATCTTTGGTGTTTCTGTCTCTAGTGATGCCAAGGAATATGAGCCAAAATTGTTGTGTTTCTCATATATAGTTTTCTCCTCTCAAAATTTCTGTTTTCAAATGGAAATTCTAAATTTACTCTGCAAGGCTTTTGTGAGATAACTACTCTAAATCCTTTAGCTCATAGTAATAGCTGAAGAAATGTTAACTCTTCCTTCTGTCAAACTTCCCATATTCTACAGTATTGGATTTCTGCTTCTTGAAGGCAAGAACCTCATATCTTAAGTTATTGATATATTATATATCTCTACATGGTGGAGATTTTGCAGTTCCCCTCAACCGACATTCATTGAGCATCCATTATATATATATATATATATATATATATATATACCACAAAAAAAATCTGTGCTGGGTGCAGGGAATTTCTCCTAGGGTAAGCGGAATTAGAACCCATGGTGCCTTGCCCCACTTCAGGACCTTTTGCTGCCACACAGCCTCTCTGCTAGTGAAATACAGTGAGACTGTGAAGTGGCAGTTGGGAGGTAACTTCCCAGTTCTGGGGGATTAGAAATGAAATGAAATGTAACCCTTGCTAATGCTCTTTAAAGTTGACTGCTTGAACAGGACTGAATGAACTGTTGTGTTTTGTATCCAGAGATGTAAACTCCTGAAGGACCTCTTTTTAAATTATCTGGGTAGTTTAATCTACTTGGAGATTTATGTGAATGTATAATCCAACTCTGCCTTATCAAGTGCTGTTTTCACAAACTGAGATGTAGAGTGAGTGCTTTCTATCTGGGCATAGTCAGGGTCAGCAGATAAATATAGGAAGCACAGGCATTTCTTGTGTTGGAATGAAATCTAGTTGAATATTTATGTGAGTTGGATTTTCTTCCCCTCTGCCTTCTACTGTCACATTTATGCTTTTGAAATCATTGTTCTTTTTCCCGCTAGGCCAGAAATTATTTTTTAAAATTTTGTCTTCCACCGTATTTTTAAAATAATTTATTTTGTTATCTTTAACTGAAGATATATGTGTATGTATATCTCTACAGATATTTTATACATGTATACATGTACATATCCCACCCAGGGCTTCTAGTTGGTTCAAGATAATCGTTGTAATCACAGAGAAAATTCAAAATTTCATCCATACAGTTTGTTAGGAAGCGGCAACCAGTGGTTTCCATTAGATCTTCAGACCAGCTTAACCCTGAAGGACTGTGAGGAAAGTTGAGAATTATGGGTCTTGTTAATCCTCTTTACCTTCCATATAAAAAAGAAGAGAGTTGAAACAATTTACTCAAAGTTCACAGCTAATATGCAGCAGAACTAGGATTAAGACCCAGATCCATAACTAGGCCACTTTGTCAGCTCTAGTGTACAGATACTCATTTAATCATAGTGTGCAGTTAGCAATGTGTGCATCGTGTGGAGCTTGAATTATAATTAGAAAACTACCTAAAGATACCTTATGGAAGTATATCACTGTGTGAGGGTATTAATTACTATCTTTCCCTTTAAAAATGTGTTGGCAAAGGGGTAATTCAGGTGGTAACAAATAGCCTGTAATGGGGGGTGGGGGGAGGAGATAACATGTTAAACTTTGCCAGATGAAAAATCCTTATGCAAGGATCTTAGACAAAAACCTTCCCTCTGCTAGGCTCATTTTATTGATTTGTATAATGAGAGATTTGGAATAGATGAGATGATGTCTAAAATCTTTCAACACAGGTAGTCTGGACTTTAAGGGCCCAGCTTCTTGCTAACATAGTGTCTTCAAGGAGAAAGTAGCTAGTTACCAGAAGGCTGTGCCCCAAGGAGCTACTAAACATTGAGTAGCTCCCTAAAGAAAGTAAAAGATTAATTGGTGACTCAGTTTATTTGGCAATTCTTCAAATTTACTCCAGGGTTTAGGGCCACTGTACAGTTCAAGCTTATGACATGAAAAATGTAGTGTGAAAGATGTGCCAAATAGTACAGTTGGCAATAGGTAGGAAAACAAATTTTGAGAAAACCATATATGAGAAGCCAACAATATGGCTAATGTTCTTTGGTGCCATTAGTGACAGACACACCAGAGATGTTTGGATTTCAAAAACCTAGTTTTGGTTTCATGACCTTTTTTCTCTACTTTTTTTTCCTATTTCTTTACTGGTCTGTTTCATCATTTCAATATTGTTTTGGTCTCACTGATTACTTCCTCCTACTTTTACATAATTTGTTCTTTTTTCCATTGATTTGAAGCCATTATTCTTTTCTAACAAACATATAATGCTGTAAATTTTCCTCTAAATATTGCTTTAGCAGGACCCAACACATTTTTTATTGTCTTTGCTTTTATATTGTGTTTTCACTTATTTAATTTCTTCATTGTCCCTTGATTATTTAGAAGTATATCGCTAAATCTGCACAAACATGGGAATTATCTGTATATCTTTCTGTTACTGTTACTTAATTTTTCTAGTCATAAATTTTTTTGTATAATTTCGATTACTGTAGTCTCCTCCTCACCCCCAGTGGATGCATGAAACCATAGATAGTACCAAACCCTATATATACTTTGTTTTTTCCTATATGTATTTACGTACATACCTATGATAATGTTTAATTTATCAATTAATTAGGCATAATAAAAAGTTAACAATGATGACTAATAATAAAATAGAATAACCATAGCAATCTACTCTTTAAAAAGTTATGTGAGGGCCCTCCCTGGTGGCGCAGCGGGTTAAAGCACAGCACTCAGAGGCTTAAGCCACTTCAGCATGAGTTCAATTCCCGCCTGCCCTGGAGGAGATCCACATGGCGAGGCAGACCTCTCCTGACCTGCCCACTGCTTCTCTCAGCAGTATACTTCTTCCATCTGCCTGTTCTGCTCCCCACTCAGTCTCTGGTGAAGCCTCTCACCCTCCACATCTCTGGCCTGTACCCCAGTTCTGTACGAATAAATAAATAAATCTTTAAAAAAAAAGTTATGTGAATATGGAGTCTCACTTGTTCTATATTGTACATATTATTTTCAGAAAATGGAGACCATGGATAAATGAAACTGTGGAAAGCAAAACTATAGATAAGGGAAACTATTATACTATATTCTTAATTGGTTGAGGATTGTTTTAAATCTCTGAATAGATTCCATTTTGGTGAATGTCCCAGTGCTCTATAAAGAAGGTGTATTCCGCTGTTGTTGGGGTGGAGTGTTCTAGAAATATTAGAATTGGATTAGTTTGGTTACTAGTGTTGTCCAGCTCTTAGTGATTTTTGTTTACTGCTCCTTCCAATTGCTGAGAAAAGAGGTTTGAAGTCTCTGAACATAATTGAATCTATTTAATCTATTTCCTATATGTATTAATTATTTATTTTTGAAAATTATATAGATCCATATAGTCATCACCACATCAAAATACATTTCCATTACAAAAAAGTTCATCTCTGGCTTTTTTTCTCCAGATGTTTTGTAATTTTAATATTATATACAATCACACTTAGAATTGTTATAGCTTTCTGATGAACTAGCCCCTTTTATTTCTGGTAATACTCCTTGTTCTGTATTAGTATACTTATATATTTTCATATCTTTTTCTATCTCCTTTTAACCTTTGTTTTTGTATTCAAAATAGACTTCTTATACGTGTATAAAGATAAGTCTTGTTTTTATATCCACTCTGCTAGTTACTCAGTTTTATTGAGAAACTTTTATTTCCATCATTATTTGTAATGTAATTTGGGAGGATTGGCTTTAAAGCTACAGTTTTACTAGAAGCATTGTATTTGTCCTATCTGTTCTTTGTTACTGCTGTTATTTTTTTCTTTTTCTTGCCTAATAACTTTTTACTTTGACTCTCTTTTTGGTGAATTTTATTCTTTGTTATCCTCATGGCTGGCTTATTAGTTATTTCTCTTTTAAGAGATTTTAGCAGTTGTCATAGGTTTACAAAATATATCCTTATTACAGTCCCCTTTCAAATATCATACTGCATGTATAGAATAGGATGCTTCTTACAAAATACTTTCAGTTTCTGTCTCTCATTCTTTGTGCTGTTGTTACGCATTGTATTTTTACATATATTATGTGTCTCACATAAGGGAACTTTTTTTTTTTTTTTTAAATTTTTTTTTTTTTTTTTTAAAGATTTATTTATTTATTCGTACAGAACTGGGGTACAGGCCAGAGATGTGGAGGGTGAGAGGATTCACCAGAGACAGAGTGGGAAGCAGAACAGAGAGATCAACGAATTACACTGCTGAGGGGAGCAGCGGGCGGGTCAGGAGAGGTCTGCCTCGCCATGTGGTCGCCTCCGGGGCAGGCGGGAATCGAACTCATGCGGAAGTGGCTTTAGCTTCTTAGTGCAGTGCTTTAACCCGCTGCGCCACCAGGGAGGGCCATAAGGGAACTTTTTTGTAATGGAAATGTCAGTATTTTGATGTGGTGATGACTATATGGATCTATATAATTTTCAAAAATAAATAAATAATACTCATAGGGTGAGAAAATATTGTTATATGTAAATTTTACCTAAATTGATATTTTTATATATGTGTATCTATGTTTATCTGTATAGAGAATAAGAATATAACCTAGTTATAGAATCTCCCTAGGTTATTTGCTATTTAATTAATTTAATTAGTTTGTTTAATTAACTTATTATTAACTAAATGTTGGTGCTGGGGGTCACAGTTTGATATGAATTAATATTTAGTGTGAAAGGTATATAATGAATGCTTTGGTTATTTGCCACCTAAACCTTGCTATCATTTAAATATCATATTTATCATTTAAGGCACTCACATATGAACTTTTATTTCCTTTTTTAAATGGGCAAATGAAGGTATTGATAGAATTGTATACTGTTCTTCCTTTCTGTTCTCTACACTAGAGAAAGACAGGACTGTCCAGAATTCTGTACTGTCCAATATGGTCCATTAGCTATATTTATTTTAAATTAAATTTAAAATTCAGTTTCTCAGTCATACTGTCCACATTTCAAGGACTGAGTAGCCATATGTGGCTTGTGGCTACAATATTGGACAGTGCAGATAAAGAACATTTTTCATCATTACAGAAGGTTTTATTGGATTAGCAAGCTTACCATGGCTTACCTTTCTCCTTTCTTTAATGAACGTTTAAGTCCATTTTTCCTGGATGCTTAAGTTACCTAAATGTACCTCCATTCTACTTACCATTGGTCCAAAGAAAATATGAATGGTTAATTTTTAAAAAAATTACAGATCAATGAAAATCCTTTGGCCAGTATTCCAAGGTGTTTTTCTAGGCACCAAAATTCACTGTTCACAGCCATTTCTCTCTCGAGTTTCCTGTTGCATATGACACTTATTTTGAAATATGTCATTCTTTCTGGTTCTTTCCTCCTTTAGTGTAAAAGGGACCTCTTCTTTGATCCCCTTGGCTTACCCTTTTATAGGTTCTTCCTCTGCTAATCTCTCAAATGACAGTCTTCCATAAAGGTCCATCCTTAACCTTATTTTTGACTCTCTGAACATCAAATATCATATATCATACGGTATTTATCAAATCACATATGTCATATATGTGTGTATAAGTATATACACACACATACACATATATACGCTGAAGATCAACAAATCTGTAACAAAGACAGACCTCTGATACAGGTTCCTTGTGAACATATCTACATAACTACCCTTCAGATGTCCTAACCTCCAAATGATAGCTTTCTTCCACTATTGAATGACTGGCTTTATTCCACCTAATGTGAGTCATTACTCACATTAGAATACTTCTAAGCTAAAAATGTGGGGCCATCCCTCATCATCCAAACTAGTTAATCAATTCCTGTTTATTTCTTCTCTCAATTACTTCTCAAATGGACTTTTGTTCATTTCCAAGACCTTGTTTATCGGTCCTGCATATTTCCAAGTATTCTTACAATGTTAATCTTTGTCCTTCTAATTTAACTTCCCGATTTCTGAGTAGTGATTTTTCTAAGATGCAGAGCTGATGACCATATCTAAAATCTCTTTTAATCCCCATGTTACTTTTGGCAAAAATACAGATGTATTAACATAACATTGTAATCTCTTTTGGGGCTTTTCCTATCTCTCTCATATTTAGTGCCCAGCTTGGAATTTTTTATCAGTCACAACCGAGCAACTTAACTGCTTGGAATTCTCAGAAACAGCCGTGTATTTCTCTCCCAATGCTGTGCCTTTTGAAGTTTCTGTTCTATACTTGGGCCTGACATCTCTCTCCATCCTCATCCTTCCCCCATTTCCCTCCTTTCCTGGGTGATTCCATTTTGTCTCTCAGGACTCCACTGGGTCCCCTCTCATCTGAGAAGCATTCCTTAATATCTTTTATCTCTTGATTAGTCTTTGTGCTACTCTGACTTCCTTCATGTATTCTTAGCATTTTGTGCCTTTCCCCCCTACGATAGCAATTATTTCCTGTAATATTCATTAACAATTTATGGAATAATCTAAGAAATGTAAACCCTGAAAACCCATTTGACTGCATACACTGATGAGTTATGTATCATAACCTTTTGCTATATACCATAGGTGAAGATGCTGGAAGCAGATCTGGTTTCAAAGATGCTACGAGCTGTTCTGCAGTCTCATAAGAATGGAATAGCACTAACCCGGCTCCAAGGAGAGTACAAATCCTTGACTGGAGACTGGATCCCCTTCAAGCAGTTAGGGTACCCTTCCCTGGAATCCTATCTGAGAAGTGTGCCAGCAGTTGTCAGGATAGAAACTAGTAGATCTGGAGAGGTAAGAAGATAATGGTGCGTGTTAGAAGTGTCGACCCAGTTCTTAATTGCCTTCCAATTAATGGCACTTCCAATCTCTTAAGTAGGATAGAAGTCAAGATTAAAAAAGTAATAACCAACTAGTTTGAAATTTTTTGTGATAGCACAACAAAACAAAAATAAATAGACAACTATAAATCAAAGACATTCTTCAGGGTTGGGGAAGGGAGGGATTGAAACAAGGGGGGGAAGCGTGAGGGACTGTGGTGATGGTACATGGGTGAACTGGTGGTGGAAATTCTATGGGTACTACACCTGAGAAAAGAAAGCAAATACTGTAAATGTTTGTAAGTGAACAATGATGTAAAATATAAATTAAAAGGGTAAAAATAAGATTTTAACCTCAATAAATAAAAACTTTAAGATTAAAGTTTACCCATTCTTAATTTCTCAGCATAATAACTATACAGAAGACATGTACTGCCTACTCACACCCACCCATTATAAAGCTGCTACAGCTGGTTTTGCCAAGGTCACTAATGATCACCTGATTAGAATGTCTAACAGACACTTTCAAATTCTCAGTGTTTGACCTAACTCTCATCTGTTCCTGCTTTCTGGATAATAGCTTAACTCCCATTTGATCATTCAGCACTTTTGACTGTTCCCAGGCCCTTCTTACAGTTCTCTTTATCTTTGGTCCTTCTCTCTCATGCCTCTTTTTTTCATTCACATCAATATGTTCACATTATTCAGCAATTCTAAATCCTTTAGTTTCTCTGGAAGTCAATTTTATGTGTAACACGGGTAATTTGGTAGTAGCAAGTATCTTTTTTATTGTCTATATACCCCATGACTCAGAATTTTCACTTCTTGGTATCTGCCCAATGTACAGTGTCAAAGATACGGACATACTACCATCCAAAAGACAAAAGGCATGCACTCCCGAACAGTACATTTTTCTGTATGTAAATTCTTCATACGTAAATATATAGGTCTCTTGAGTATTTCTCATCAAAAACCTATAATAGTTGTTCATCTCTGGGGGGTGGAGGAGACAGTGGATAGAGGAGGAAAAAGGGATCCAGGACTGGGAGGATGATCAAAGGGGAGGTTCATCTAATCTGCAATAATTTTTATAAGGAGAAGGTATTAATTCATTATTAAGAATAAAACTTGCTTCGTTTTCCATGCTTCTTCCAGACTTAAGCTCTGATTTCTGTCTTCTTGGCACTTTGTAACACATCCAGTATAGCATTTGACACGTTTTATTTGGTCTCTCCCTTTCTTTTCCTTTCATATTTTGAGGATAAAAGATTGTTTTTCCACCCCAATAGTTGGTATTTAATGAATTTGTGTTGAATCTCTGAATGATAAAATGTCTGAATTAATTAGGGTAATAATGCTTCATGTAGTTTGCTGTGTTACCGTTTACTCAACTCTTTGCCTCTTTTGGACATCTTTAATATTTATTTATAGAGGTAAGAGCCCCTATTTGAGAATAATTACATATGTAAATTTTTCTTCTTTTGAATTATATTCTTGTAATACAGCCTCAGGGTTAGAAATAACAGGTCAAAGAGTAGGAATATGTGTTTGTTTGTGGTGTAAACCTTTTTGTCCTGTTTGTGATCTCAGTTTAGAGTCAGACTTAAGTCCTAGGCCTATAGAGGTCATCTGATCCCAGTACTTCACATGCTTTTTCAGACATCCTATCACACTACTTTGTTTTTAAAGAGAAAAGGCTGAGCTGCTGTGTTTTAAACAGATCTGCAGAGGGTTCAGGGTCTATGCTTGCTCTGCCTTGCCCTCAGAGGCTTTCCTTTCATGGAATCCTATGGCTTGAAAATCCCAGATCCCAGCACACCCCTGTTTACAAATGTTTACAGAGATTAGGGGAATAAATTGATTTATCAATTCATCCAGCTATTCCATGCAATGGCAAGTCTAGGATTTAGTGTTCTTTGTTAGGCAATACACCAGCAAGAATGAGGACATAGTTCAAGTTCATAGAGAGAGCCAGGTTGTGTGACTTGGGAAGGTTACTTAATTTTCCTGAGCTTCTGTTTTCCTGTGCATAAAATGTAAGTGAAATATATCTCACAAATTATCTGAGATTAATACATGCGGGCTACTGATTTCTTCTGGTGTATTTGTTAATCCTATAGCTTCTAGCACATTGTAGATATGCTTTACAAACATCTGTTAAAGAAATAAAAGAAACTTTCAATTTGAGGAAAGAGGTATTTAATGGGCCAAACTATGCTTGATTTCTGTTTACAACATACAACTTTGCTCTGATGTGATCAAGGCGAGAGAGAGATGAATATTTGTGTACAGCTTGATTGTTTGATTTGGGGCATATAAGCTCACTAAATCCACTTTTAAAAATCAGCTTCTAGCCACCAATAAATCTGAGAAATATTTCTCTTTTCACCTTGCCTTTCATGAATAGATTACCTGCTATGCTGTGGCCTGCACAGAAACTGCAAGAATTGCACAGCTTGTGGCTCGTCAGAGGAGTTCTAAAAGAAAAACTGGAAGGCAAGTTAATTGTCAGATGAGAGTAAAGAAAACCATGCCATTTTTTCTAGAAGGTAAAGTCTTTTTCTGTTAAGCCTTTCTGTGAATCTGTTGTCACATGGAATTATGAAAATATTATTTGTATTCATGATAAGCACCTGTATTAACATTCATCTGTCAAAAGAAAAATCCTGAAGCTAGTGTTTCCACATGATGAGGATAACTTTTCAAGTGAAGTAATTACACAGTGAGAAACAACTAAGAGTAGATTTTAATTAAACATATGACAAAGTGTGGTTTTATTCTTTTTGGTTATTTGAAAAGGCTCATTCAATGTGTTGGATGAATGAAGAACCTGTGATTTAATGTCTTAAAAAGATAAGTCTTTTAGTGTCACTCCTCTTTTCAGAAAACATGAATTATATATTGCATACAAGTGAGTTATAAACAACTCAACCTGTGTTTTGTAAATACCTATTTCAAGGAGTATATCATCACTCCTAAAATTAAATTCTAAAGAAATAGTGCAATAATAATATAAAATACCCAGTGCCTAAATACCACAGTGGCCCTTTTAAACATGGGAGCAAACACTGTGAGAACCACAATGGTGGGCTTCATGATGAAGAGGAGACCCCAAGTGATAGGAAGAATTCAATTAGTGAGACAGTGGTAGGGAAGGCATGTGGCTGTTCATGCTGCATTTGGAAGAACAGGAGGGGCTGCCACTGAAGAGTCAGTTGGTGAGTAGAGGGCAAGTAACTGGCTTTCCCACATTTTGAAGAACCACATGTGCTAAGTACTAACCTACTGTACTCCACTGACTCCATGGGGCAGCCTCACTGTGTCCTGAGAAGAGAGACCCACAGAAAGCATCTGATGGGAGTGGCACACTGAAACTGAAGTTTCAGAAGCTAATTGTTTCTATTATCTATGCCTAACTTCACAGGAAAACCGAAGGCAACCCTCAGACAACCAGGATTTTCTTCAGATTTTTCTATCAAAAAACCTAACCCAACACTGTTAAGAGACAAAGGAAATGCTTTTGGAGTTAAATATGATGCTGAAATGCCACCCTATATATTACATACAACTATTGGGAGGGAAGTATTCAAAGATGTTCCAGTGCAGAGGCATATGGCCATGCCTGCCAGCAACAGGTAATCTGGATTTTGTTTCACTAAAGGGAGAAGTTTGAAGAACTAAGAATAATGAATATTAAAAATGTATATTCAGAGTACTAAGGAAATATTTCCTGTTCACATGTTGTAGAGAAATGCATCATTCCTAGTAAATCTCTTTTACTGGCTATGTGAATGTCATTCTCTGAATAGCTCCATTATATATATTCTCTTTATTGTTGATTATCTCTCCTTGTAAATTTTATTTAGCAGCTCTCCTAAGTTCTGAAATTCTGTTTCAGCTACAACTTTTGTTTTCTGAAAACCCTTCTTCTAATCAATTTTAAGAGCTTACTGATTTGCATTCTCCACTGTACTCCAATAATCATTTCCATAATTATACAGTAATCACATATCCACACATTAGAATACCAAGCTGGCAGGTATAGTACTTAGTTCTGAGTATTGCCATTCACTAGCTGGGTGAATTAAGTTATTTAATAATTTGGGACACTGGTTTCTTCATTTGTCCAGTGAAAATGTTAAACTAGATGATGCTAAAGTTCCTTTCTCATTCTCAATTTATGATTTTATAAGGTCAGCTCAGGTCAGCAGACTAGTCCATGAGCCAGATCTGACCTATTGCCTGTTTTTCATAAACAGTTTTATTCGAGCACAGCAGTGTTACTTTATTTTTGTTGTCTATGGTTGCCTTTGCACAGTTGAGTGATTATGCAAAGACTGAGTGGCCTGCAGAGGCTAAAATATGTACTGTTGGACTCTTAGCAGAATGTTTGCCAACTCCTAATATAGATGAATCCACATCATATTCTTCCATTCTATCTTCCATAACAAAAAAGACATGGTAATACATCATGTCATCCCTTAGATCAGTGTTCAAACCTTCCATTTTGTGTGAAATACAGTTTCCCCTCAAATTAGAATATTTAGAAATAATTTATTTTTTAAAATAGAATAAAAGTTTACTAATATCTTACATGTTGATATTTTTATATAAATCTAAAATACATTTATTAAAGGTATTTTTTGAAGATTTATTTATTTATGCATACAGAACTGGGGTATAAGCCAGAGATACAGGGACAGTGGGAGGATTCATCCAAGACAGAATGGGGAGCAAAACAGGTAGATGGATGAAGTACACTGCTGAGGGGAGCAGTGGGCGGGTCAGGAGAGGTCTGCTGTGCCATGTGGGTCACCTCTGGGACTGGGGATCGAACTTGTAGTGAAACAGCTGCGGCCAGCTTGCAGTGCTGTGTCCTAACCCGTTGTGCCACCAGGGAGGGCTCAAAGGTATATTTTTAATGTTGCTATGGCTAGTTATTTTAAGTCTGATAAGATCCACAAAATACCTAACTAAACCCTGAATTATGACTTGACACACTAGTTGGGTGCAGTGTGTGACTGGTACCACTGTTTCCCAACTCTGGTTGTGTGCATAGACTTTCCAGGTCCCATTTTGAGTTGAATCTGGAAACACAGTAAACCAGTCAGCCCGAATTGTATTCTGTATCCTGCATTCTCCTCCTGCTCACCTCATAGCACCAGAGAGATCAGATTAGTGCCCTCCATCCATATAGGCTTCACAAGCAGCATTTAAATATCAACCCTGTGGAGTTTGGAGCTGTAGTAATCAGAAGAGTCTTCAAAAGTGACCTTACAATTATTGCTAAAACTTATTCTCTGTCAACCTTGACCAATTTTGAAAATGAATAAGCTTTTAAAGCTTCAGTGTTAAGACAAGCGAAAGAGATGGTGCAGGAGAGAATTTGTGGTGGTGAACTAATGTTGATGAAAGCCATTGAGGCGTATACATCTGCATTACTTATGTGGGCACATGACTTCATGTTTGAAGAGAGGAGCACTGTTTACATAATGCTCTTTATGTAGTGAAGTGTATTTTCATGCTGGACGAGGTGGGGGTTCTGTAGGTGCAGCCCTCTCCATGTACCTAGAAAACCCCGTGATCGGCCCAGGGTCTCAGGAACAGCATGCTGTTGCAGAGCAAGAGCTCTTGTTATTCCTAATATATAGGCAGTTACTGCTACTCAGAGTCACAGATCTGCTTGCAAATTTGAGAGCTTTGCCTAGGGAGGCTCAAGTTAAACCAGGACATAAAAATCTAAAGTGGATTAGTCTTGATTTGGTCAGTGGTAGACTTTAAGACCACACACACACCAAAAAAAAGAGGAGTATTTGATTCAACAGCAGTTAAGATCGACAGGTTGAATTTTGTAATAGATGCTGCAGTTACCATTTTTCAAATTGATGATCTTATTACACCCAGAAAGCAAACATGACAAGCGTAGAAGTTATGAAAATATTCTTCATTCTGGAGCCCTTAATAACTGATCTGATCTCTTTTTTTAGCTTAAAATAATATTAGATGCAAGTGTCTGATATCTCAGATATTACATTTCAGTATACAACAAGCTGGGGAAAAGGCATTTCTCAAAATAGGCTAGAGTAAATAAATGTAAATTTATGATTGATTTCCAAGTTCTTAGTTGAAACATGGTAAATATTTGTAGGAAACATTTTCTAAAATACACTTATTACTTTGTTTTAATTATAGAAATAATATGTTTACAGTATGAGAAAGTAAAACACAGATACAATTGTTACTAATTCATATATAAACATTTGAAAATATCCTATATATATGTTTTTAAATGCAAATTGTGTTATGCTTTATATGTTGCTATTTTATAACCTGTTTTAAAAGGAAGTATATTGTTAGTATTTTTCACTTCATTAAGTACACTTCTACATTATCACTTTAATGTCAGGGTAATTCACCTATAGTTGAATAGAAATGATTTTCACTACTGTAAACATTCTACAGTAAACATATTTATAGAACATTATATTCATAGCTAAATCTTGAGAATAATTTGTAGAAATGGAAGGACTAAGCGTTAGAGGGTATATGCACTAATACTTTTACTAATCTGTAATCTAAGCAGAGTATATCAATTTACATTCTCCCAGAAGTTTATAGGAGCGATCATTAATTTGTGTCCCTGCCAACATTGGGCATCAGTTTTTTTGTTTGCTGATGCTCTAAAAAGTTGAAAAAATGTACCTTTGTTTTAATTTATATTTCTTTGATTTTGATACTTAAGTTATATTTTTCTCATAGCATTAGGCCTTTAAAAATCTTGTATGAATTTCATGTTTTTGTCTTTTGTACAATTTTCTTTCTTCTAACATGCAGAAGTGATTTATAAATTATGTAGACCCTTTGTAATATGTTGGCAGTTTCTTCAGGTTGTTTAATTATATTATGTTTGGTATATAAAAATATAACTTTTTTATATGGTTATATCTGTCTATATTTTCCTTTATGTCTTCTGCCTTTAAGTGTTATGCTTGGAAAAGCATTTTTACCCCATATTATGTAATATATCTTCTGTTTTCTTTTGGAATTTTTATGGTTCCTTTTGTACATTTAAATCTTTAATTCAGTCATAGCTAATTCTGCACAGTGTAAAAGTAGAAATATTTATCTTGCTAGCCAGATGTCCTAATATCAGTTATTTACATAATCCTGTCTTTCCCTGCTGGTTTGAAATGTTATCTTTACTAATACCAAATTGTTACAAAATCTGACTCAATTTCTAGGCTTTCCATTTGGAATCATTATCTGGCTGTTCTTTTGCAGTGCCAAATTATCTAGATTTTTATAACTTTATAGTAAGAGTTAATAGCCTCTACTCTTTACTATCTTGTCTGCCTTCTTATTTGACTTGTTGCATCTATAATGTGCTGTTATTATGTTTCCCCTATCATAGCACAGAGACTTTGTTCATCTAGATAGATTTTGTTAGTGTATTGATTATTGCTGTGAAACAGATTACCACTAAATTAGCAAGCTTATATTTATTATCTCCTAATTTCTGTAGGTTAGGAATGTAGGTACCACTTAGCCAGGTCATCAGATTTTTGTCAGGAGGCTGCAAAGTACCACTGTGACTGGGGTTTCTAAGCTCACTTGTATGGTTTTTGGCACAATCAGTTCCTTTTGAGTTGTTCCTTCACTTCTGCTGGCTGTTAACCAAGAGACTGCCTTCAACTTCAAGCCCCAGAGACTTCCTCAGACCATGCCCATTTTTTCATAAAAGGCATCACAGAGGAGATTATGCTAGCAACATGGAACTAGAATCTTTTGTTATCTAATTAATTAGTGGTGATCTTACTGAAAAATTGGTCAGAAGCAAGTAACTCAAAGGGAGGATGATACACAGGCTGTGGATTCCAGCAAGCAAGAAAGTCGGGGTTCATCTAGTAGCTCCTTAGTGCTGTCAGTTTTCTCCATATACAAATAGTCTATGAGGTTAGGGGTACATTTCTCTACACAGTGCTTAGCACACAGGACCTTAAGTAAATAATTGTGGGAAAGGATATATCTCTAATGAATGACATATGTTTAGATTTGTGTTTTAGGCTTTTTTTTTTTTTT